ATATATATATATATATATATATATATATATATATATATATATATATTGTCCACGTGCGTTATACAAAATATTTTTTTTTGTTTTTTAAAAATTTTGTGTTGAATTATCAACAATGGTGAAATTAATTACCGTGCATAGCACGGTACCTAATCTAGTTATTAATAATAATAAGACAATATACCTTAGGGAATTAAAGATTCCTTCCATGAAAAAAAGATTTTTAAAAAATAAAAAAGGTAAGAAAATATTACAATAGATATATCTTAAATTTTAATTTTAAAAAATTGTTATTAACACAAAGTTTTACATGTTGCTGGCCACACCGTGTGGTCGGAATTACTTGGTCAGGGGTGTAACTCGATCAGGGGTTACTTGGTCAAAGGTTACTCGATTGATCAGTGATTACTCAGTCCGTCAGGAGTTACTTAGTCAGTCAGGGTTATTCGGTCGGTCAGAGGTTACTCGGTCGATCAGGGGTTACCCATTTAGTGTTTTAATGTGTGTCAGCCGGTCACATAAAATATTTTGGTGTATATCAGCCGACCATATGATGTGGTCAGCCACACAGAAAACGCACGATTTAATTAATATTTTTTCTATATACTGGGGAAGCAGAACTCTTCAAAACTGAAAAGGTTTTATTTGAAGGAAAATCTAAATCTTGTATCTGAGGTATGACAAATTGACAATTTTCAAATAGTATTTCCCAAGAGAGAGAGAGAGAGATCATATGCGATATGCTTATTATTTCTGATGATCTCAAGTCTTAATTAATTAATTAGCACTCCACATCTCACTTAAGAAAATAAAACCTTGAAACAACTCATTTTAATTGTTATTACTTTTGAATTTTGATGGTGTCAAGTCTTTTGGTATAATGGTATGTGATTGTACTCATAAATAAATAAAAATAAAATCTTATTAAAACAAACATTTTCCATGCACCATATTTAATCATTTCTACCTTATAAAATACGGAATAGTATTAAGAAAGATGTCATGAATAAAAACAAGTTCACCTTTTAATTTATATATATACATACTCATAGTAATAATCACAAGTATTGTGAATTAAATTTCAATTTTCATGAAAAATAAGGAAATAGAACAAGGTATATAAACTAGTGAGCAATATATTCTGTACATTATTAATTTGAAATTTCTATTTTATTTTAAAAGAATGCATCATACGGGAAGATTTTGGTCCTAAATAAAGAACTTCAGATAACTAAGGGACGAGTGGGCGTACCAAGAAATGTTGACACACCTTCCTCTTTGCTCCATCCCTAACCCTAATAAGGTTTGCCTCGCTCCTTGTCCTTTAAATAATTTAATTAATTATTACATACTCGACAAATTAAATATTTGTATTATTTTCTTTGATCCTTTTGTTTTTCCCAAATTGAAGAACAAAATTATTTGGAGAGAGTAATATTAATTAAAAATTTAATTAATCACCGTATAATCTTCTTTTAATTTGATTTGTTAATTGTAGTTATTGGTGATTGGAGGAGGAGATGGTGGAATTTTACGTGAAGCATCTCGCCATCCTTCCTTGGAGCAAATTGACATATGCGAGCTTGACCAGATGACAGTAGATGTGAGTTGCTTTCTAATTTCTGTATGTATAATATAAAAAGCTTTGTTAATTAAGTATAGACGGCTGGTTTGGTAGGAAGTACTCCATAATACATAAAGTGCTAAAGATGAAGTCCATGAAGATAATAATCGTATAAAAAGTGATTTTTTTACTTAGGGAATGTTGTTTGTAATTCATGTCTAAGACATTATATTGAAAGCTCGCTCCATCCTCAAAATGTGTTTTTAAATTCTTTTATGAGATTTCGTCGAACACTCCAAAAAAAAATTATCGCATCTAGGTCAATGGTAATTGATGGTGACATACATAACCTTATGAACAAGCACGATTCTACAAATTTGTTACATTACCACCATTTTCACTCCCTACCAAATAGACCATTAGATTGATTTGGAACATTAGGAAGTGAGAGTGCATGCAATAGGATTTAATTATATACTTCCTCTAGCTCTGTTGTTAAGAGATCGAACATGGCCTTATACTTCGTAAGCTAGCCCGTGTCATAATATTATAATAATATACTAGTATATATTTTGCTTGAACTAATCTAAAACTTATTTGTATTAGTTTTTTTTTTTTTTTTTTCCTCTCTCTCTCTTGGTTGAAATAAGATTGACAATATAAAATATAATAAGTTGAAACTAAGAGACTCTAAACTCTAATTCAGGTTTATGCAACTTATTTCCCAGACGTAGCAATTGGCTACAAGGACCCCCGAGTGAAGTTACATGTGGGAGATGGTAAGACGAACAAAAGTTGCTCTAAAATTGGTTAATTAAAATCTTAATTATTAACTTAATTATTTACTCGGTATTAATTATTCCTTATAGGAGTGGCCTTTCTGAAGTCTGTTCCACAAGGAAGTTATGATGTTGTGATAATTGGATGCATTTCATGTCATAGGTTCCTTGGGTAAGTCAATTGCACCCCTCCCTCTCCCTTTCTTCATACGTGTATAAACTAAAAAGTTTAAAATCACTACGTTTTTCTTCTGCCCAAAATTAGTTATTATAATGTTCTATCCTCTTATGTATATTTTAAAGAAACTAGAATATATCCGTATTAATGTGCTGAAAAATTATAATTAAAAAAAAATGATTAGATTTTGAAAACCAAAGGTTTGAAAGGTTGTGGTGAATTAAAAGTAAGAAAACCGATACCAAAATTATTAAATAGATTATAACTGTACATGATTAATTTAACATAAATGTATTGTAATAAGTTGTAATAGTTTTATCATTAATGTCGGCATTACATAATTCAGGTGTAAGGGTACGTACATGAAAACATCTAAGGTGGCTCCGATCCATTGCATGCATGAACTATTACTCGTCTACCTATTCGTTCAATTTATTATTTTGATCATATATTATGTACTCCGCATGTAACACGTGGTGTACGTAGGATATAATGCCAATGAGCTAGTCGATGAAGGGCTCTTAGAAACAGTGGCAAAGACACTACGCCCAGGAGGTGTGCTATGTGCTGGTGCAGAAAGCTTCTGGAACCAAGAATTTGACCTTGAAAGCAACATCTCTATGTGCCGCAAAATTTTCAAAGGATCTGTTAACTATGCTTGGAGTAGTGTACCTTTCTACCAAAGGTACGTACTTCCAAATTAGTTACAACTTATTCCATTTGCTTATATTCACATTTAATTTAATTACATTAATTTAAAACAAGTATTAAATGAAAGTCCCTCATTAATGTTATGAATTGAAAGAAGTAATATTTAATAAAAGTCTAATATATAGGAGGGTCGTGGACCTTGTGGTAATTTTGTGACAACTAACAAAAAAACTTTTTCATATATATGAGAATGAGCCGATAATTATTGTGTATTAGGTAGGATACTCAACAAGACAACAATGGATTGAAATTAGATGATACTTGCATAATTAGCTCACCTATAGCTGTATAATATGGTTAAATTATTAATATAAAGAAAATAATTGCACCTTTATATTTCAAGAGGAAAATAACATTATTAGCCTTGAAATTTTACTATCCTTAATTACAAAAGTTATCCCCATTTTAAAATTTTCTCAATTTCAGTGGCGTCATAGGATACATACTTTGCTGCACTGAAGGGCCAACTGTTGACTTTTTGCACCCGGTCAACCCGTTAGACGAAAACTCAAACTCTGGGATATCAAACCAGCCGTTGAAATTTTATAACTCAGAGGTAATAAATTCCAAATCGCTAATTATTTTTCTTAATATTACTTCAGTTAATTATTAAGTGTAACAAAATGAATATTTTATGTCTCACAATAATACCTGTTTGTTGCACATAATAATTAACCGAGGTAGTAAATTATTTACAAAGTAATTTTTTAAATGTTTTTTTTTTTTTTTTTTTCTAATTTTACAATTTCTACATTGGTGTATTGAAATGATTTAGTCACTCAATATATTAATTTTGGATATATTTCATATGCATCCTATATTCCTATTATGAAAACCCAGTTTTATTATGCTCTCTACTTACTAGAAAAAGCTTGTACGACACATATCCAAGGGCAACTTTTGTAAAAATCTATACTGTACTAACCAGCAGGCGGCTAATTATATGATCGAACAACTATTACACTATGATAATATAATTACCAACGAACTCAATTAGAGTGCATTATATTTATTTGATTTTGACTTATTTGAAACATACTTAATTAGGTTTATTTTATCCATAAAATATAATTAAGTTACCCTAATAAGAAATTATTTAAACTTATTTATTACAGTGTTGATCTTATCTTATACGAAATTAGTAACTCTTTTTTTTTTTTTTTTGAAACCATTAATAACTCTTTTTGAAGCGCATATATCTTATATTCCTGTAATAAGTGAACATAAGGTGAATAAAATTAACATGAAATTTAATTTATTGTTTTATTATTATATTATTGTTATATTATTTCTAATCTCATTTTAAATTGTTTTCCAGATGCATACTGCAGCATTTTGATTGCCCACATTCGTGAAGAAAACTTCAGCCAATTTCGAGAAAAGATGTTTTTATTAGTGTTTGTTTTTCCCATTAAAACTATTCTCAATTGTGTTTGATTAAATTGTATTATGATGTAGACATCTAGCATCCTTCATCAAAGAAGGAAGAATATTTTCAATTCTAAATAGCGTCCAAAGAAATGAAAACTCTATCAAACAAGATTCTTATTCTCTTTCAAATTAAATTTCATCGTCATATTGGGTATTGCATAAAGTTTTATGTAATTAATGTTGCTGACTAATCTATTACTTATTCTTTAAAGTTTAAAGTATGTTTAGAACTTATTTTTTCCGAATAATCTTATCTGAACTTTTTTTTTTTTTTTCTGATTTGATCTAAAATAAGTAAATATAATAAGGTGAACTAAACATAAACTTATAAGTCGATCAGTCATATACTCATACGCCAAATATTTCCACCCCTAATTAGAAACCAAATCAATTTACTCATCGAAACAAGAAAACGAAATTGCAAAACCCTCTAAGTGATTTTGGAATTTGGATAAAATCATCATTGCCACGTGTGTTAGAAGAGATTGACCCCAAAGAAAAGGAAAGAATTTTTGGTGTTGCAAATAAAAATTGTTCCTACCCTTGTTCTTTGTTTGTAGACGATTCTATCATTTCACCAAACCCCTTTTAATACAAACCCCAAAAATAACTCATTTTCATAGAAAATCATAGACTCTTCCCGCAAAAATCCGAACTCAAACATTCAAAGAATCCCTCAATTTAATCAACTCAAAACCCAGAAAAATTCAAACAAAAGTTCTTCAATTACCCCAAATCACAGCACCTTAATCAGTAAGGCAATGTACCATATTAACAATCACAATCACCCATTTCATAAACCAGAAGAAAACCCAGCAAATTTCACCAAGAATTAGTAGAGAAAAAAAATCATGCTGAAATGATGGTAGAAGATGAAGGAGAAGAAACCCCATCAAAGTCAAAACCATCAACTGGGTCTTCGTCTTACAAATCTTGGAAGTATGCGACGAGCTTTCAGAAAGATTTAATGGCGGGGGCAGTTATGGGGGGTGTGGTTCACACCATTGTTGCACCCATTGAACGAGCTAAGCTTTTGTTGCAAACACAAGAGAGTAACATAGCAATTGGTGTTGGAAAACACAGGAAATTTAAGGGTATGTTTGATTGCATTGTTAGTATGGTCAAGGAAGAAGGTTTTGTCTCTCTTTGGAGGGGTAATGGTAGTAGTGTTCTTCGGTATTACCCTTCTGTTGCTCTTAATTTCTCTCTTAAGGTATATATAATTTTCTTTTCTTTTTTAACTTTTGAATTAAAGTTTTGTTTATGTTATATAATATAGTAGTAGTATTGCCTTGGTTTCGAATTATATGATAGCAGCGTTGATAGTGTAATTTGAACTAGTAACATGACTGTTGTTCTTGATGATTTTTGTGGAAGAGGGGTGGTGGGGAGGGGAGATATTGTTTGGATTGTGGTTCTTGGTGATTTTTGTTAAAGATAGAGATTGATGAATGATGAGGGTTTACTGAATCTTAGTTCCAAATTGAATAATGGATTTGATTTAAATTCATTATAAGTGTATATAAACATTATGTTTGAGGTTTAGGCTTTTGAAGTATTTTATTTGGTTTTTAGAATTTTGGGATTTTTGTGGATGAGGTAAAGATTGATGGATGATGAGTGTTTACTGGTTTTTGGTTCTAAAATGAATAGTGGGTTTGATATGGATTCATTTAAATTGCATATTTTGGTGAGAAACATTGTTTTTGAGGTTTAACCTTCCCAAATGAGCATAAATTAGCCTTGGGTGAATGGATGTACACCCGGGTGTATAATGGACACTATTGGGATATATAGCCAATATAGGTAGATGATACTGAATTATTGTTATTTCTGAAGTCTGATTGAGCTTCTTATTTTAATGATGGTCATGATTTATATCGGTTTATAGCACCAGATTTTGTCGAGATTTTGTTTGACCTCTGTTGACCTGCATACAAGTGGAGATATTGAAGACTTGTTTTTGGTTTGATTAAGTTTGAGATTGGTCGTCAAATCATAGTTATGTTCTTTCTTTGGGAGTTGATAATGTTGGTGTATTGAATGATATGGACATATAGTTGCTGTTTTGCTGATTGAAATGTCTTAACTTGTCTGGAATTTAGTAAAGGGAGGCTTAAGCTACATAGTTATGGACTGTGTTATTGTTTATTGCTTATGAGGTTCATTAAACACGAGATGCTCTGTTTTAGAAAATTTCCTCAATTATTTCCATTGTTTAATTGACTAAACCTCTCTTGAAGCATCTATTCCATTGTTAAGATGCCATATTTACCCCTGTTAAGGATAGAAGTACGTTTTAGTTTTCTCTCGGTGCTTAGGTATATGGGTTTTCCTTGGATATGTTGCAACTAGCATAATGATCTCCTTGGATATGTGATCAAATATTTGACATAAGAGATTGAACAGCTTGGTCATAGCCATGTTTACGTCATGCCTTCTTTTAATTGAATATTGTTTGACAAAGAAAGTTGTTATTGTTGGACAAAGTATAGGAGTTAATGGGACTCACATCAGTTATCTGAAGGTGTGAGAGTATATTGCTAGAACCAGCTAATTAGACTATGTAGTTAAAAATAGTGATATGTCATGAAATTTGTATCCAGTTTACTTGTCTGGGAAGTTTCTACTATTTTGGGGGAAATATAGTGTTTTAGTCTGCTTTATGACAAATTGACAAAGAAAATTGAATGATATCTGTTCGGACTGTTCCAGAAGAAAATATGGTTATTAGATTCTGAAAGTTAGCTTTTGTGAGTCTTGTGACAGATTTGCAACAATTGCAAGTTCAAAGACTACGTTAATTTAACAGTTTAATGGTTCGAACACCAGTGGTGGCTTTTCTTGTATGTAACTATTTTAACCGACACTTGGATAAACACAACCGTTCTCTCTTTCGAACTAGTTAGCAGAAATTCCGAAAAGGATGAAGGCCATATTTGGAGAAGAAACTTTCAATACTAATAACAATCACAGATTGAGGGCTTTAGTAAAACCCTTTACTCAAATTAGTGCTGTCTTTTGTGATTGAGAGAGATTGGTAGTCACAAATTTGTGTGCTGAGACTCTGAGAGTTTGCTGAATTGTTGTGGCTTATACTTAAGAGGGCTGTGGGTGTAGTCCAGGTTTTCACTAGGATTTCTAGGTTGTATGAGATATAATGATAAGATTATACACTTCATGTGTTTGATTAAGTGCTATTGCTTGGATTCATCTCATTGACTGTCTTGTGCGATGGATTTGTTATCTTTGCATCATTTTTGTTCTTATGCCTTGAGACTTTGGGTGATTTTATTTATATTTCATCTCCTGTTAGTTAGAGAACTCCTTGTCATCTTTTGATGTATATATCTTTTCCATCCTTGTGTAAGAAAAGTTTTTCTTATCTAGTATGTGAATCAGCATTGGTTTTTTTTTTTTTTTTTTTCTAGAGAAGAATTTCCAGCCACTCTAAATTAATTTTGCTTATAATTTCCCTCCTGTAGTCCTGTGCTGTCATGAGAAGGAACACAAGACTTAGGTACAAACTTGTTATTTCCCTAGAATACTGATTCATCCATTACAAAATAAGCTTTATGGCTGATATTGATTGGTTTTTTAAGAATAGTATTGGACAATGTAGATGATATAGTAGGAAGTCAATGGATAGAGATAAAAAGGGTATGGGAAAGCATTGTAGTAGAGCGAGATAGGAATATTGTTTTCAAAACTACTGACTTTTACTTCATAGGGAAACAATAAGATTTTGGCGTTTTGAGACATTTGATTTTAGTAAAAAAAAAAAAAGGTTTGTCGTATGGACAGAGTATTAAGTTTGTACCTGATTGCTTTGGGTTTGACACTTTGGCTTGCTGATGGAGTATCAGAAATAGCAGTCTTGAGTGTATTTGAGTGAATTTTAGCTAACCATTAGAGAAAAATCAATTCATATTGAATTCTCTATCAACATTTGACTTAGACGTGAACTTTCCTAGCGTTGTCCACTCGTAAAAGGGAGATTGATGAATAGAATGAGCAAGTTTTACATACTTTGACTTTGTGTGTTTAAAATCAGTTCCTACTCCCTAGCTTTTAAAAAGTGACGAGCTTGCTTCTAGGGTTTTTTTTCAAAAAAAAAAAAAAATTTAATTGTGCATAGTAAGGCAATAAGTGACTTTAAATGTATTATGATGTGATTGATTTTTTTAAAAAATTGTGTCATTTGGCGATTACTATCTGTAATTATCAACATGTAAAAATTATTTAGAGTTGGTATTAATATAATTTACATTGAGGCGATTCAAATAAGATCCCACATGACTATGTTTTATCATTGCTATAAATCTTAAAAGCTAGTCAAAGTGAAGTTTGTGAATAATGTTAAAAGTCAAAACGTGTCTACCAAAATAAACGGACGAAGTATTTACTTACTGAAAATGCCTTGGGATTGGCATTTGGCAGTAGTTGACTAATGAAATTGGATTTACCGGTGATTTGAGAAATGGAGATTAATTGGTGTTTTATTTTGACTTAAGTACCTGCTTCCTGGCTGATCATACCTGTCCCTGAAAAGAAGGAGAAGATACCAAAGTACATAATGGATATCTATGCTTCTTTGTTCCATATGGTTTCAGTTTTATACCTTCTCAGTTTCCTGACGTCGTTCCATTGAACCACACGACAATGCTTGATTGTAATGTTGTGTTATGAAGTTTGCAAACCCTATGACTTACTGGGGCGTTATCTTCCAGATTTAACATTGATTTTTACTGGATATCGCTGTCACGGGTTTTTATCTTTTTATCAGCCAAGGCTTGAAGCTCTATAATCTAAGTGTTTCTGTGTGGTTATGTGGGTGAACAAGAGATACGGTACAAAGAAATGTTTTGTAAATTAAACATATTTTAAAAGCCTCTGCATCTGGTGAAATTATCATGATATACCCCCCAGCCTGTAGTGGATTTTAGTAAAGCAATAGTACAGGTTAGATAATTGGAGTGAAACCAAGATATTCCCTTTCTGTTCAGTACTTATCTTTTTTACTCCATGAAAATCTTACTATTGTATTGGTTTTTTATTTTTGTTTGTTTCTACACAAGAGCCACTTTTTTCGAGTAGTTTTAGTTGGACAGGCAATTGACTTGATTTAAAATGGACCCAAAAACAATAAGAAACAGACAAATGGCTTTTTGAATATATTTGTCCAACGAAAACCCAAAATTATCTGAACCTGAATGAGTTGCGAATTTCTGGATCAGTTAGGGTAAGATTATGAGTTGATTCATTGGATTGAAGATAATTGAGTTGGAGGTATATGATGTTATAATACTATACCAATTTAGCAAGCACTGGTATGGTTTTAACACTTTAAGTCTTTAAGTGGAGTATTGTGTATATGCTGATAGTTGCAGTAAGTGTATGCAATCTCCACATTTTTTGATTAAACCACGCTTAGAAATAGAATGTTACCACTAGTTTAATGGAGTTTGAATTTGATTAGTAGGATCTGACTTTATGTGCTGTTTTTGTTTTTCATTTTTGAGAGCATCCTGTCATCTGGTTGTTTTTCTTTGTGTCTTTTTTTTTATCTTTTCCTATTTGATTTAAGGGTGTTTAGATGCTTGACTATAAATAATAATCTATTACGTCCTCTCTCCTTTTACTCAATGCCATCAAAGTCAACAAAATCCTCTTGCTGTCTACCTCCACCCTGCTCACTGTCCTCATTCATAAATGCCCATCTCACCTTTTTTTTTTTTTTTTTTTTTTTTGGGGGGGCACCTGATCCTCATTTTCCAGCTAATGACATATATGTAAAGAGGCTACACTTGTACTAATTTGTGATACGTTAGAAGTCTGGTTCTTTTTTTTGGTTTTTTTTTTTTTTTTTTAAATGCTTAAACTGTTCTTCTGTTGTTTTGGACTCTTATGTACCCATAAATAAATGATTTCATCAATAACAAGGGTGTGACATATAGTTTCACTGTTAGAGCCAGCTCCTCAATTTTGTCTGTGAAGGTCTATGCTCTCCTTATTGACACTAGCTTTCCCCACACATGCTCAGTAGCCTAGTCTATGCTCTCCTTATTGGCACTAGCTCTCCTCACGCATGCTTAGTAGCCTAGGCTACCTGTTTGTCAAGAGAATGATGCTGATAGGATGAGCTTATGAGTCTGATGGCTAGTTAAAAGGAGCATGAGTTCAAAGAAATTGACACGATCATCTGACAAGCAGACTGGCCCCTTTGCAGATTAATGAATGGAAAAAAAGTGCTGTGTTGTATCTGAAGATATATATTATTAGCTCGGAGCTGTAAATCAAACTGTTTTGACCGACCTTTTTTTCCAAAACTTTAGCCAAAAGTCCATATGGGCTTGGATATGTATATCAAATTCTAAAACAAGACTTTTCAATTGAGTAGCATAAACTTATTTTGCCTAAATTATGTTGGTCAAAGGTGAACAGCTTTATAGCCCGTTTATTGCATTTAAGCCTTATTGATAGTCTTTCCATTCTACTATGAGTCTTGGTTTGCTACTTTATTATCTTTGTATAAATCAAACTTTGGTCAAAATTTTTATGTACTTGACCCCTACAAAGTCCACTTAATATATCACCTTGAGATGGAAAGTGCATATGTGATTAGGACTGTCCAAACTAATTTTAACTAATGAACATGATGCTCCTTGTAGTCACTGGGTTGATTAATATTTTTTTACAAAAAAAAATTATATGTATAAAAAATGTAAGTCCTGCTGGGATTTTATGGAGGTTAGTTTGGAAATCTAATATTTATGAAATGTATAGTCTTGAGTAATTATTAGGCTGTCAGACTTCAGACAACAGATGTTGCGCTTCCTGTGGTCTGAACTTGAACTTTAAAGTCCCAATTCAGTTTGGTTTGCTAGGGTTTAGGTTGTTAGAACTTTATGCTCCCTGATCCCTTCTTTCAGCAGGTTTCTTACCCACTATTCTGGTTAGGAAGGGTTTATATATATAAATAATTGATAATGTTGCACTGAAGTGTGCTAATGCAATCTTTGGACAAGCAACATGCACTGTATCGTTTTTCTTGCATGCCATAGTTAATGCTGGTCAAGGACAAGCAACATGGATGTGGAATGAGTTGCAGCAGGGGAGATGGGTAGGAAGAGAACTTTGCTCTTGCTGTTGTGATAGCTTTACCATCAATGAGTTAGAATTTTGGGTGAGATGGATATGAGGTTAAGTGACTAGGTGGAAATTTTCAGTCCTAGCAAAATTAAGGCATGGTCAAGAGCTGTCATAATTCATTTATCTTCTCAGCTTTACGCATGATTACGCAGCTGTACGAATTAGGACTCTGTAAGGAGATGTCTAGACCAACAAAAGTAAACTTGTATTTGCCAAATTTGGCATCACATCATTTAGTTGTTATTTGCGTAATTGTTATTTTACCCAGATTATTTTTTTTTTTTTTTTTATTTTCTTTTTTGGTTATTGTCCCAAATTTCTAGGCATTGAACAGTGGCGAAGTAGTGCAGGAAGGTGCAAGACGGCATATATAGAGGGAGATCATTGTAATAGTTTTCCTCTGGAGTCTGGACCATATGGTTCAACTTAGACTTCAGATCAATTATTTTTTAGCGGCTGATGCTAAATTTGTTGATTGGAGTTACTCTGTGAACTAAACTTGTGAGCTGTGAATTATGCTTCTGATCTGCTTCTCTAGCAAATCACAAGTTAATTTGCATTTTGGAATGCACTTGGATAGCAGCCCCTTGCAACTAATTCTCTTATGGTGAGCCTAATTTTCTATATGAGAATGTTACAAAGTAATTGTTGAAGTACTTCACCTGGAATTTTAAGGCTAGAACAATCATTGCTGTTTAGTAATTGAAGGCTTCCATAAAATATTGGATTCTAGTATGTGCATTGGTTGGAAGATAGTTTTTTAAAACTTTTGGATTGATATAAGGGAAACTACTGCAGTAGGAACCTGTTGTAAGGAGTGACCAAGTTGTCTGTGTCTTGTGTATTCTATTATCTGTGTCTTGTAAAACAATCAGTTTGGAATCCCCCTGAAGGCAAGGTTTGGACAAGTTCACTGTATGCTATCTTGCCCATGATCAATGGAGACTAGAAGAAAACTAGAGAAGCTCTATCATGTCATTCATACATCATACAAGAAATTACGTGGATATGTTTCTTATCTGTTTAATTTCGTGCTGCAGGATCTTTATCGAGATGTACTGAAAAATGACAATGAGGGCCCACCCATTATGACTGGTGCAGCTGCCAACTTTTTTGCTGGGGCAGCAGCTGGTTGCACGACATTGATGATTGTTTATCCGCTTGATATTGCTCACACACGACTAGCTGCAGACATTGGGAAGGCTGATGCTCGTCAATTTCGAGGCATATACCACTTCCTGTCTACAATATACAGGGTAGAAGGGATCCGTGGGCTTTACAGGGGACTCCCTGCTTCTTTTCACGGAATGGTTATTCATCGTGGTCTATACTTTGGAGGATTTGACACTGTGAAAGATGTACTTGCCAAGGATGCTGTAGAGCTGGCATTATGGAAACGGTGGTTGGCGGCTCAAGTGGTGACCACTTCTGCTGGATTCATTTCCTATCCTTTTGATACTGTTCGAAGGCGTATGATGATGCAATCTGGCCTCAAGGAACCAATGTACAGAAAAACTTTTGATTGCTGGAAGACAATATATAGGACAGAAGGGCTCTCCTCATTTTACCGAGGTGCTGTTTCAAACATGTTTAGGAGTACTGGTGCTGCTGCCATTCTTGTTTTATATGACGAAGTTAAGAAGTTCATGCACTGGGGCGGTTCTACTTCTAGCAGGAATTGATTTTTTTTACAGTTTCAGGTATACAACATTCAATACAACTTTAACATTAGTGTCCTGATAACAGATTCTGATGAATACACATCAAAACATAGGTCTGCTGGTATTGTCTCCTTGGCTATGGCAGCCTTACACTGAATTTTTAAGCTGACCAATAAGATCGAGAATTGACTCCGGTTTTTTTTTATCTACTTTACCATCTTTCTGTATACGCACCTGTAACTTGGTTGTTTTGCTACTGATTCTGGAGAGTAAAGCCTGTAAACTCCATTTTCAGAGGAAACAAATTGATACATGTATAGATGGTTTCATTTCATCTTCAATTTTTTAGCTGACCACTTCAATTTCCAAAGAGGTTCATCATATTATATGCACCAATTACATAATATAGCTTTTATTGATGATACATTATAGCTTTTATTGAGGTTCATCAGTGTCTAGGTATTTAACTAGTATAATCGAATAATGGTTACTTTTATCGGGTCTATTTTATATTACAATATCGATATTTGTAATGGTTAGTTTATCAGGTACACTTAGTTGAGGTGAATCTTATTGGTGATGCTTTAACTAGATATTATTAAGACGGATTAGACTTAATTAAGTATGATTAGCCAACTTATTCATCACTAACCTTAAAAAAACCCCAAATCTAATTAGTGTCAACAAGTAATGATTATGTTTATGCCAGTATACATGAACTGGCTCCCTCTTGCTTCTCCTAACTATTTAAAATTAGTGTGAAGTCAGCAACTTTGTGCCAAGTTGATGGGAAAAGGGAGCAAAAGTGGATTAAAGAATGCTATTAGAGAATGTTAATTTGTATTAAGTACATAGTTTTGTTTTTAATGATTTATAAACTTTCCTTAATTTCATTAAACTATGATTATGATTTGAGTGTGATGTCATATGATTCCTTTTACCAGTAAACTACGTTATCATCTACGTACTTAAATCTGTATTGACGACAGTGGTATACTACTAAATTAGCTAAAAAGGGTGCATAACCTTGTTTTTTTAAGGCATCAATTTGTTATTTATTTTTGTGGCCACTTCAAAGAACTACTCAGGTATATAAAGAGACGGGACATGGAATTTAAAAATAAAACTAAAAACAATTATTTATTAATTCTTCTTCCATTCCTTATTGTTTTAAACATTGAAACAAAAGGTCAAAGTGGAAGACTAAAAAGTTTCATAGAAATTACGGAGTATGTTGATAATAGAGGGAGAATAGTAGTGTATCCAAACTGAGATCGTAAATTTGATTGACGGGACACTCTACACGAAAAGTGGCTTAATTTGATTGAAAAAAACACGGTAAGTCTTCAAGATGATTTATGCAGTCCCCCTTAAACATAAATGTTTCACCTAATCATATACTCCATAGTATATTTGTCATACTCTTCGCCAAGAGAAGCTAATAGTATAAACAGAACTTTAATTTCATTTCTTGTGTTCAACCAAACGACCACTAATTATCGAATTCGATAATCGTGACACAAGTGTGGCAAATGAACTGGCTCCATCATCCTCCAAATAAGTAGAGTATAGTAAGCAAATCCGTGCCAAGTTGATGGGAAAGAGTGGAAAAGTGGACCATATTAGCAAGGGTGTTGGAGATTATATACTACTATTTGCTTTTATTTCCTGTTTTAATGGTATTTCTTTTATACTTGGGTTATAATTGTACTTTTGAGTGGGATGCAGGATTCAATGTGATGCAATATGATTCCTTTTATTGGCTAATTGCATCATCATTTGGAGTATATTTTAAATTATTTAGACTAATTTTAAGATAATAAAACAAAAAAATAAATTAAAAAAGGGCACATGACTATGTTTTCCAAGGCATTAATATGAAAAACCATTGGCAAATGCCCATTGTTATTGAATTTCTATGTTCGGCCGGCAACAAAAAAATTACTCAGGTACTAAGGAACTAAGGATTGTGATTTGTGAAGGGACAAGAAAAGGAACTTAAATAATTTATACTGATGATATCATAATGAGTTTGATAGCAACTTCATTTCTTTCTTAAGCCATAAACTAAAAGCTACTGATATTTTGAGGGGGGAAAAAAATGAACCACCAAGAAAATTTGATTTCATTGTACCATGATTGTGAGGTCTAGGATGGGGATTTGTTAAACGTCGCCCGCAAATCTCCACATAAAGCCCACAAATATTTTTACTTTGACTCTTTTGCCCTTTTTCTAATTTTTACCGAAACCGTAATTCACTCTCACGAAGAATGTGGAGCTGGAGTGGATCGCCGAGGGACACCGAAGAGCTGTCATCGTCGCCGGAAAGCGAGATAATCCGGGGGAAAAATTACGAAAAGTAGGGGTGGCGTCTGGTCAGGACGCCGCCACCATGGCTGTGGCGTCCTGGCCAGATGCCGCCACCATGGCTGTGGTGTCCTGGCCAGACGCTGCCACCATGGTTGTGGCGTCCTGGCCAGACGCCGCCACCATGGCTGTGGCGTCCTGGCCAGACGCCACCCCTACTTTTTGTAATTTTTTTTTTTTTTGTAATTTTATTTAAACTTTTTGTAATTTTTTTTAAATTTTATTTAAAGTTTTTGTTTTTTTTAATTAAACATTAACACAAAAAATTCTGATTTAAAAAAAATATATACATTAGAAATAAAAACATTAACACATAAAACAAAAATATTAAACATTAACAAAAGAATTCTGATTTTCCAAAAAAAAAATATTAGACAAAAAAAAAGAAAAAAAAAGTGACAGGGCGCCTGGCCAGGACGCCCAGCCCCTGGTGGTGGCGTCTGCTCCGGCCGCCGGGACCAGGGGGCTGGCGTCTGACCTGGACGCCCAGCCACGGCGGTGGCGCCTCTGGAAAATGCCACAACCGTGGCTAGGCGTCCAGGTCAGACGCCAGCCCCCTGGTTCCGGCGGCCGGAGCAGACGCCACCACCAGAGGCTGGGCGTCCTGGCCAGGCGCCCCACCTCTTCTGGTTTTTTTTAAAATTTTTTTTTTAAAAAAAAACCCTGCCACCGTGAGCCGTCCTTCCCTCCGCCGCTGTGGCCGCCAAGTCCTTGCCTTGCCGCCTCAACATTGCCGTATTTTCGGGTGATTAGAGTGTGGGTATGGGTTAGATTTTTTTATTTTAGGTTTAGGGCAATAAGGTAAATTCAATATAGATTTGTGGGCTTTATGTGGAGATTTGCGGGCGATGTTTAGCAATCCACCTAGGATGGCTCAAATTTGGTTTTTATTATTAAAACTGGTTGTTAAGTCTATGCATGCGTTGTTCAGATTACTTATATCATACAGATTTGTGGAATGCTGATGATGTTTTGATTTTGATAAGAAGAATAAAAAATTAATTGGAGATTTCTTAAGCCTTTATAACACTTTTATTCTGATAGATAAAAATAATTTCATTTCATCAAAAATTAAGTCAATTAAAGAAAGCAAGGAGTTAGGATTGTCTCAATATTAAAGCTATAAAAGTGAATACATCATGCTTAAAATGAGATTGACAAAATTAGAGGTTTTTCTTTAGGAGCAAAGACAATATTTATGGTATTTTCATTCAATCATTCAAATAATTTGTCGTTGAGCTTAGTGTTCGCACTTTTATATATCAAGGGGCCATTGTTTGTTAAATTTTCAATAGAAAATGCCTTTTCATGGTGTGCATAAGATAATACCTTCACTCTAATGTCCAACTTGGTTTGAAATTTCCAATGTTAATAATAACGAACATTGTAGTCTTTATAGCTACTGTGAACTATTATGCTCATACATTTCTGGAGTGCAATAACTAAACAAAGGATTACTCAATAATCAAATTTGATATGACATCAATAAACTCCAATGAGGTTTCTTCTTATATAAGACTACTATTATAAATAAGAAGACAAGATGCCAATACTGTTAAAAGTTGTCTTTTTTTTTTTTGAAAACGATCCATTTTTTATACTTCGTATGATTTTTCTCAAAAGTCACCTCATATCATTCAAAATTAACTCATTTTTACCTCATACATACATCATTTGATACTATACTAAAGAGAGTTATTAAAGGAGAGGAGGAGATGAAGAGAATTATTATAAGCAAAGTGCAAATGCAAAGAAGAAACCGCCAATTAAGAAGCTAAAGCATCGGATGACATCCAAAAAAAAAAAAAAAAAAAAAAAAAAAAAAAGAAGAAAAAATAATAATAATTAACAAAGTAAAATTAAAGAAGCTTTACCAAAACTTTTGGACTTTGAGTGATGCAAAGAAAAGATAAAAACTCTTGGTGGGGTAGATAAGTTAGGTTTAAATCTCAATTATAAATTTTTTGCCCTACTTTTAAAATAATTGGTAATGTGGGGAAATCTATGTACAAAAGATTCAAATTTAGATTCTTTTAGGTTGCTAAAAGATTCTACTAATATGGTGGGTTTCCTCTGTTTTTGATCTCAAGTGTCCTTTAATTTGTCTTTTGATGATCATATTGTCATCACTTAACCACCATTTTGTATCTCTTTTTTTTTTTCAAAAGTATATGGAAGGTGGGGTAACTTGCCACTATACTCCCCTTCTATCACATCTTTCTTTTCTTAAATAGGGAACTGCTTTAGTTTAGTTGTGTTGTAAGTTTACAAATCAAATTTCGACTTCCATCATAAACTATAAGTAGGGAAAGCGAATAAGTAAACGAAGGTTTGTTTATTACTTGGATACAAAAACAATGGAGCCAATTATAGAACAAAGGAATCTTCCCTTTATTGTTTATTGTACGAATAAGTAAACGAAGGTTTGTTTAGGTCTATTTTAATCATAGTACGAAATTATATATGATTATATTGTTTATTGTTGTTGTTGCACCAAAAAAAAAATTGTTTATTGTTACATTGAGTGCTCTCAATATTCCTGCAGTAGGTAAATTATTGGTCATTAGCTAGCCGCCTCTGATTAACAAATTGCACGATCTATTAGTTTAATTCTAAATCATGGTAAAGTCTCACCCTCAAAAAAATAACGATGTTGTTTTGTTTTAGATTTATGTTGTTATGTTTAGTGAACTTCATTAACTAGGGAAACAAAGGTATATTCTTCCCTCAAAAAAGAAAAAAGTTGGTATATTCCAAAAATTTAGAAAATATGACAATTTATCTATCTACTCCGTACATCTATATCTATACTTAGTATATAATAACACAAACCATCACACAAATCAATAGCGCCACATATCACATTTACCATTCAATTTTATTTTATTTTTTTGTTTTCCAAATTTTTTTTAAAATCATATATATTAAAATCATCAATAAAGCTAATTCATTACATATAATCAATCTTAGTTC